TCATCGCCCCGTGGTCCACATTTTGTGAACCCTACTTGCCATACCTCATAAGCAAGCACCGGAAAAGACAACCTGTCTTCCCCTGGAATCGAACCCGGGTGGGCACGAAAAACAATAAGTAGATGGTTGATTAGCCTAGCAACCAACACTGTAGACGTGCAACTATCGTAGCGCCAAAATATTCCCATAACGACTCTACGTCCAATATATAAGAACCCCATAGAAAACGACACCCTTTTGGATATTATACGATAAGCGAACAGACAGATCATTGTCGTTTTTTCCATTTTTCCTACCTAATAAATAAAAGTATTATGCCTAAGTTGAGCATAATAAAGCCATTGGATTCCTTCTCGTGAGGCCTTCATCTCTCTCTCTCTCTCTCTCTCTCTCTCTCTATATATATATATATATATATATATATATTGACACACCATTGAAAGGGCAAGAACCCTATACATATTCTCTTACATGTCTACTATGGACTTTTAGCAAGTCTTGTCTCTTGTTTCTAGTCACAACTTTAAATGATTATGTTAAGTAAGGCTGTGATATGTACAACTCAACAATACATTTTAATGTCATTAACCATGGGTTTTAGGGTCAGATTACGTATACTGACTAACCCTTCGGGTGAGTACGAATAGCATGGAGTCATCGAAGATGAACCTCCATGACCATAAGAGCTTTGATAACATCTGGATTCATATCCAAGGTAGATGGGATTTTCCATTGCGTATAACTTAACAATGCATCTAAAAACGTATTTGATTTGTTCCAACATTGCATATTCGATGCAGTTGTGACCGATGGAACAATATTTCGAACCCATCTTTGTTTCAGGATAAAAGGGTCTAAGTAGGTTGTGAGACATTATAAAAAACTTGGTTTAATTTATTAGAAATTGATTATCGTTAAGCTTAAAGTAACGAAAAAACATTTGCAAAAGATTAAAATTTACAGACCATAGCGTTCCATGATGACGTTATAATAGGTTAAGAACATCGATGATCATTGTATTTTAAGATTGTTAACAAAAACTAATATACTTTCAAAACAAATTATTTCGTGTAATTATGGCATAAACAATTCTACACCGACTAAATCGAGTGGTTTTCAAATCTGATTATTTTATACCATAACAGCTAAAAGATCATAATCAAATATGGGATATATACTAAACATTTACCTTGGTAAGTGCTTAAATTACTTGACTTGGTGAACATAACAAGGAGCGGAAATCTTACCAGGTTAAGAACCTGGTAAGTAAGGGTGATGACTCTTACCCGCTTAGCGTTTACTGGGTTATCAACGTTTATTATCAATCCATTTTAGTAAGTGAGAGTTTGTCGATAATCGTTTATTTTATAAGCATTTGGTAAACAACCTCGTTACGATATATTAAAAGACAAATTTTGTGGTGTATAAAGAATATGATTGTAACATTGCATGATACTAAAAAAAGTAAGAGGAGTAAGAGAAGGTATGACATATGGTGTAAAAATGGGAAGTTGCAGATGTGATTTGATTGAGGCATCGGATTCTTGTGGTTTTTGAATATTTTAAGGTAAACTATGTTATGTAGTCTACTACCTAAGATTTATTAAGAGATTCCTAGGCCTACAAAATCTTTCCAATCTTTTTTGTTTAAGTAGAAAATATTGTTTTTTAAATAAATAATAGCATTAAAAAAAATTGAAGTATGATATTTGGGTAAAAAATTGATTACCAGCACCGGCCATTTGTCTTTAAAAAGACCAATGTGAGAGGACATTTTTTGACTCATTCAACAGTTGAGGCTAAGGGAGACTAGGATCAAATCCAAGACATGCCTTGCATTTGGGTTAAGTCACCTTATCCTTTTACCAACTGAGTTACATGTCAAAGACGATTGAAGTCCAATACTGATGGATATAAGTTATAAGTTGGTTTATGACATATATGTATTATTTGTGGACAAGAATCTTAGCTGATATGATATAAACAAGTATTTATTTACAATAAAGTAAGTAAATATAACTGGTCGAGTAGCATTAACCCCCAACCCAACAGAACACTTACCGAATTGTTTCCACTTATTAACGGGTTGAGTTGGGTTAAGATTTTTCTAAATCATCATAATGGGCTGAATTGGGTTGAGATTTTTCTAAATCATCATAATAGATTGGGTTGTTTAAACAACGTAAACTACACTACACAACCCATATGCAACGCTAAATATAATAGAAATAAGATGATGATTTAACTTTTATATGTTATTTTTATGCAGTCCTCAACCATTTTTTTAATAATTTATTTAATTAAACTCTTAGCGTCATACTAATTATTGTTATTTCATGTACTTACTAATCAAATTAGGAACATAATTAATCCATTTCGAACAAGGAGGAGAAAAACAAAAAAAGAAAACAACGTTAATTTATATGTAAAACTTTTTCATTTAAATGTAACTGAAAAATGTGAAATCTATAAAAAATTAAACAAAATAATTAAAAAATGGAAAACCTGCTCCCTGGTTGTGGTTCATAGTCCAATTATTACTGTGTTGCAAATATGGTTGCTTGAAATGACAATACTTTCGATTATCATGTGTGTATTACAATGACAAGGACATAACAAAAAAAGCTACTTCAAAATTGAATTGGTGTGTTTTATAATTTCATATCATAGAGAGGGGAGGTTAGCATGTGTTGTCCCATGTGTGTGTGGGAGGATTTTCATAAATGAAAGAACTCTTTTAATTACGAGGTGGAAGTTTGGAGAAAACTTATCTTATGCATAAAATTCATCTTAGAAGCTTACTGAATAAGTCACTTTCTATATCATTAAACCACTACCAATAAATCATATATAATTGATTAAATAAGTTACGAGTCACGTTAAGATGCTAAAAAAGAGGTCCTTTATGTTTACATTTAGATTAGGATAAGATAAGTTCGAGGGAACAAAAAAAACATTTTTTTTGCCCTACCAAATTAGATGAAACAAAAATCAAAGAAATAAGACAAAATTGGTAAATTACTCATATACAATGTTTAAAAAGGAATGCCACAACAGCCGTCGATTAGTATATTTTTTCACAATATATTTGTTGCACTATGTATTTTGTTCACAATACGAAAATTTTTGACGTGTTTGTGAAACACAAAATACACGTAAAATACATTAAATGCAAGCCTTAGATGGAAAAAGACAAAGATAAAAGTTCTCACGATTATCACATATATGAGGTTCTCATTTGATTAAGACTCTAATATCATTGTCTCATCGAATAATAGTTATAAACATATATGTGTGTATATATAATTATATGTGAGATATAAAATCATACCTGGCATACAACGCTATACCTTCTTTTCGGCTCCTAAGATTTGAGGCTTGACTCTGCCACCACGCCACAACTCATACCAATCAGAGTTTTGCTCGTATCAAATTAAAACCTAAAACATTGCACAAATATCTGACCCACCTACCTTACTTTTGTCTTTCAGCCCAAAACAACAAGCAGTAAAATTGATGAAAAAGAGTGGCAGGAAAGAAAAAAGGATGCATATGAACAAAGACCAAAATCTGACATGTTTTTATGCATTATTGCAAAAACAACCTTAAAAGAGTTCAGCAGAGAATAAGTCAGTCACACATTATTACATTTACATCCATAATTTTGTTCAATAACTAAACCATACCACTTCACGCTTTTAAAGATGGCTACCTACAACCTATTGTTCAATGGGTTTTACAACCTCTTTCTGCTTTTACCAAAATATGCGGCATCAGAAGTCAGCTTCCTACTGCTAACTTTTCTTATTTTAATAATACCATAGGGTTAGAGATTTGGAGGCAAAACTTTTAGCAGAATGGTGTCTAGTTTTATCATTTCTTTATTGCATATACTAGACTAGACGAGAAGTACGAGAAAGTTCTATATAGTAAATCACATGTGATTCACAGCACGTCAAGAAAGATCGTGTTGACCAGCAATTGCACAAGAGAGTTTCCACGCAATCTTGGTTGCGTTGACTGTCACCTGAGTCCTTCTGAACGTGTTGTGATTTACTATAAAATCAAAGTTGATTGTCCTTCTCGTTTGATACTACTAGACTAAAGGCATTTCAAATTGCACATATCGGATTGGGTTCTAGTGAGAATGGAAATTATGGTGAGAAAGGTAAGAAGGGATCTCCACTCTTGGATCAATCCTATATTGAAGATCAACATTAATGAGACGCACCAAGATGCACCGGATCAATTCCTGTATCATGCGCAATTCAAGGGGTGGAGGTGAGATTAAAAATGCCCAAAGGTCCAGATCCCTTCTTAAGCTACTCACCTCAACTCCTATTCTCACACGATCCTTCGTCCCTCTCTCTATATATATAGACTTGGGATCATGTGAGACCAGACTGTTTCCATGAGACTCGTGGGACCACTTAAATATCACTTAACCTTCACATCAAAAACACTGTGAAGGTTTATTTTCAGTGTTTTTGCTGTGAAGGTTCGCTGTTTTTCACACCTTCACAATGAATTATTGTGAAGTTTCAGTGTTATTTTGTGGTCTCACGGGGCTCCAGAAAAAGAAGGCTGGTCTCACGTGAACCGAACCTTGTATGTGTGTGTGTGTATTTATATATATATATTTCATTTTGTGGAACAATAAATTTGGAACGCACCTGGTCCGTTAACCTCCAAACGAGTTGTCCCTATTTTTACCAATCTCTGAAGCAACATGAAAAAATCCGTTAGATGAGTCACAGAAGCACCAATCAAGGACAAGGTGGCTCCCAATATGCACCTGCTGAACCAAACCCTGACCAGAGTGTCCACTATTTAATAAGAAAACAAACCATGATATGCATAATGCTTGTTCTAACTATTGCAACATAGTGAAGACACAGTTGTAATAATCATTGATACAGAAACAGGAAATCAAATTTGCTGATTCTGGATATCACAAGTGAATCTAAAAGAAATGCAATTTCAAAGTGGCTGATTTGCTTGGATAGTTCAAATCACTTGCATTAAATAAGAATGCAATATAACCATTCTAAAGAAGTTGATCATGAGACCAAATAACAAAACGCATTATCAATTCGTATGGGCTATTGCATACTGATGCAATTGTTTCGTAAAAACACGAAATACAAACAAATGCAAGGAGCAATCAATGATGAATCAAACCTAGAAGGTATAAGATAGTAGTGATACAAGGTTCTTTTAGTACAAAAATATCTAAAATTCTAGGAAAACTTATAGGCTCGCGGTCTATAACATCTGAAGCAAAAGGAACCTCATGCCGGTGTCACTTCTGATGAGAAGTTGCACAAGAATAATTTTACTCTCACGTTACGCAATACTTGAACAGAGGATATAGAGCAACATCAGGTACCTACATTGCAACAAATAGCGAAAATTACATTGCCAGAAGAGGTTAACCATAACAAACAATGATACAAAAAACAGTACGACCGCGTATATTTCAAAATACAAAACCTTAGTCTTTAACTTATTTAGTCAAATATGCTTACCAGCCATTCTAGATTTCTTTTATCATTATAGAGCCCAAATGAACGGAAGATGGATAATTGTGAACCTCGGTCAACAACATCAGTAGGTCGTTTGGAAAGCATGATTTGTTCCCAACAATATTATTACTTGCCCTTAACTTCTAAACTTTGGGTCACGACATAAGTATCCATCTTGCTTTTGAGCAACTTTCACTCGTTACACCAAAAGTTGTTTGATCCTAAGATTTGCAAGACACTCATCAAAACCTCTAATAAACGATTCCACATGCATACATTTCATATCACAAATAATATGAGGTCAAGTAATAAAGCCATATACTCTCTGCTCGAACTATTTGGCCAAGGGGCAACCGCTACAACATTTGTCTTTGTTGGTGCAAGTGTGAGAAACCATTTTCCGTTATCTTACAAGACTTGACAATCCTGTTGTGTTGATGGAGAACGAAAATCCAAACTTAATAGCATTCTAACAATTTTGTCATGTTTACAAAGAAAAAGTTGACAAACTTTAAGTATCCAAACAGACAAATTTTTATAATGTCAAATCTGCAAAATTAGAACCGATTTCCGGAAGTCTTCAAGTCTCAACAACACTTACCTAGAGAAGCATATCGCTAAGAACTTATTGAAGATTTAATCCAATTCAAGTTTCGAAAGTTGTATCATCTTCGGAAAATTAATCGGCAAACACTTGCAACAAGTTAAGCAAAAAGCCAAATCAACTTTAAACATTGTCACTGCCTTTTATAATCAGATTTCCAAAAGTAATATGTCGAGTGTTCTAAAAACAATGGTATTGATTCAAAGTTGGTGCATGAAATGCAAAGAGCTGCTCGGGCAATTCCGGACGTCCACAAGGTTTTTCCCAAACACCCACAATAAATTACTTATGACAGCTCAATACATTTAACGGGCGACTATAACTTTTAAGAAGTGACTTCGAAAGTCAGCAGTGTCCCGAATTTCAAAATCTTTTTAAATTTGAATGTTTTGTTCTTCATCATCAAACAATCACTTGACCATTCATAGCAAAATCTCAGATTGATTTGTAATGCGTACATGTCCATATCACAGCCGTTATGTTGCCATGAAACTTTCGAAATACAATCTAAATCTTTGTAAATAACTTCCTGATTTAATCCTCGTTTTGAGGTGCTCCTTTTTAGGGGAGCTTGTTTTAAAGGGGGATCTTTTCCCATCTTTCTAATTTCACCAGAAGGGGAGAATTGGTTTATGAAGTGTTTTTTGGGTTTGTGATGCCTTTCTAAAACTTGCTTTATTTCGAAAAAACACCACAAGTTTGTCATCTTTGGATACAAAGAAAATGTCGGTGCAAGCGTACATAAATCATTTTCCACTATTCATAACACATAATCCCCATTGTTTTTTTGACAAGTTCAGTTCAAATGTACGTAATTTTAGCAAGAGCAAGAACATATTTTGTAACTCTATTAGTCTGAATTCTCAAGTTATCTTGTGTAAATGTAATGTTTGCCGGTCACTTGTAATTATACTTACATACATATACATCTACGATGAAATCAAGTCTAATGTACTTAAAACGATGTAAATTTGCATGGCCCTTGATTAATGTTATGAATATGCAGAAGATTTTACTAATTCTATTAGAGTTGGACTCAAGTTACACATGTTACTGCATTTTGGGGTCATGAAGTTAATTATCGCAATAGCAAACTGTTCACTTGGCAACGAAGTACTGGTTACTTTAGAGCATAAATTTTCTGTAGAGAATCATAAACAGTTATGGACAGATCTATTATATAGATGGCCTTCACGAAAGGATTATATTGCTCCCAATTTTAAGAAACCACAAAACCATTATTATATCTTTAAAAGTATACCTAAATTATGAATGTGTCTGAATAGCATAAATGATATTTGCAAAATCATATCTAACATGATGCCAATGGTGATTGGAAGAAACAACCAAATGCTTTTACGCTGGTTTTGGCTTCTAAGAGAATTTCTTTAGAAACCACCAAGGGTTGTACATTTGACCTTCAATTTCAAACCACGTATCAATGGGTTTGATTATTTAGCATCCATTCCTTTTCCAAAATAAGTTCTATATGCGTATTAGTTGACACATGCTTAATAAAATAACATATAAAAGTTTTAAACTGTTAATGACTGGTTATCGTATCATTCTGTATATGATCCTTTCAGAGAGTGTATGACATGAATTCATAGTCCAGTTGAGAATAAATTCATTCAGCTATGGAATTACGTGTTTCTTGCTATGTGTTATTCTAGCATTTTCTTATGACTAGATTCATCCAGTTCATAGCTTCAGTGGTAGACAATTTAAACTTTCTATGCATAATTTCTTTGATGTCATTATTCAACTCACAATTTTATGTCTTGATCATGTGACAATGTCTAACATGTAGCGTATATGTGATTAGTATCACGAAAAGAGCAACATCATTGAAAGCCACTCACGGTTGCAACTCATACAGACACTTGTGGCCCAATCACTCCAGAATCAAGCAACTACCGGAGGTGTATAATCACGGTTATTGATGATCATAGTTGCAAGTTGTAGACATAGCTCTATTATCTCCTACATGCTAAGTCAGAGGCATTTTTGGTGTTTAAAAGGTTCAAGAGCATGGTAGAAAAAGAAATAGGTAAGTACATTTGTTCCCTCCGTACCAAACGATATGGGGACTCACTTCATCTGCTTTTAACGATTTTTTCAAGTCAAATGAGATCAGTAGGCAACTCACTGCTGACTACTCTCCTCAACAAAATGGTGTAGCATAGAGAGGAAACCAAACCCTAATGAACATGGTATGAAGCATGCTCAATAATTAAAAGCATGTCCCACCAGAGTGTTGGCCCAAGGCTGTAAATTGGGCGGTCCAAGTACTAAATTGATGCCCTACATCAGCAGTAAAAGATAAGAGGCAAGAAGAAGCATGGAGCGGATTGAAGCCTTTGGTGAAGCATTTCAAAATATTTGGGTGTATTTGACATGTTCACTTACCAGATGTGAAGCATAAGAAATCAGACAACAAAAGTTTCAAGTGTGTATTCTTGAGAATGGCCAAAAATCCAGAACTTACAGAATGTCCGAACCAAAATTTAATAAAACTATTGTAGCCATGTAGTGTTTGACGAGAAAGGGAAGTAGAGACAATAGAAGAAACCAGAACAAACTGACCAAGTAAATCTCACTTGAGATGTACACAGACTTGACCTCTTCCATAAAAGAGTTTGTGACATGAAGAAGCAAAAAGTGTGATGTCCCTGAATGGGATGACAAGATAGAAGAATACACAAGCGGTGAAACAAATGTGAAGGTACATGAAGGAGAGCATATTGCAAATGAAACACCTCACCGACTAATGAGAAAGTACATGAAGAAGAAAATGCTACAAATTATGACTCAAAACACCTCAAGTCCGGCTCAAGAGAGAATTAGAACTATAGAGGCTAATGTATAGCATACAAAACTCGGAAAAAATCAACTTAGTGTATCCATGTTGGAAGCTTTTTAGTCCATTGACTACTTCTTAGGTCCGGCTCAAAAGAGAATTATAACAACTATAGAGGCTAAGTATAGCATACAAAACTAGCAAAAAATCAACTTAGTGCATTGACTAATTCTTAGGTCTACTACTTTGTTTGATTATCTTATTAGTAATCCTAATTTGCAGGAAAATCTGTGGTGAATTTGTCTTAGCCATGTTGTTAGCTTTGCAACACATGGATGCCCTCAGTTCATTTTTTCCTAGTTCTGTACAGCTATACAATAGCCTTTATTGTTGTTCTAATCCTCCATTGAGCTGAACTTGAGGTTCCCAAGCCATCATTTGCAGTATGTTCTTCTTCATGTACCTCCTCATTAGATGGTGTAGAGGTGTTTGACATCATTTGCAATATGCTCTACAATATGTACCTCCACATTTGTTTTATTGTTCATGTATTCTTTTATTTTGTCATCCATTCAAGGACATCACATTTTGTTTCCTTCACTCAACTCAAGTATGGCTATATAATAGCTACTCGGTTCGTTTTTTCCTTGTTTTGTATGACTATATAATAGCCATTATTGTTGTTCAATAAACTTAATTTTTAGAGCTAGCAAATTGAGTGATGCAATTTCAATTTACAACAATGGTTGATCCTCATAAGGGCCTAATTGGTAGCGAGTGTAAAAGAAACATGAGAGAGAGAAAGATGGCCATAAGAAGTAATAGGAAATACGTGAATCCCAGCATTCCTATCTTCAATAGCCACTACGAACACCATGCAAAGCTAATGGAGAACTTTTTGCATTCCAAGGAGTATCGGAAGCTTATGCAAGATGGTGTTCCTAAGGTGAGAGAGAACCAAGGGCCGATTGATGAGCAGAAGTTGAAGAACTGATAAAAAAAACTATCTTTATCATGCCATCTCTCAAAAAAATAGAGACATTTGTGGAAGATGATACGTCCAAACAAATATAGGATGCAATGAAGTGGAAGTATAAAGACAAAACTCCAAGCATTCATAAGGGTTTATGAATTGTTGAGTATGAAAGAGGGAGAACAGCTAGACAACTACATGTCAAGAACTCTACCTGTGGACGTGTGGTTAACATGATGAATATCAATGGTGAGCAAATGAAGCCAAGTGCACTAGTGAATTTTTTTTTAAGATCAATGACGAATAGGTTCAATTATGTTGTTTGTTGGATAAAAGAACCGCATGATTTAAGCACCTTAAGCATTAACAATTTTCATGGGAGTTTACTTGTCTACAAACAAAGGGTGCAAGAGAGAGAAGCAGAACAAGCCTTTAAAATTGTCATTAGAGGAGAGCAAAAGAAAGGAAAAGAGGACAGGTTTGGTGCAAGAGGTCAAGGTCGTGGAAATGTTAGAGGATGAGGTCAAGGAAGAACCTATAACAAAGCCATTGGTTGAGTGCTACAACTGCCACAAGTTGGGACATTTCAAATATGAATGTCCTAACTATACTCATTATGTCAAGCAAGCTGAGTTTGATGATGATCAAGAGATGTTGCTCATGCTCGTATCATATGTTGAGATACCAAATTCCAAACGGGGAGACACACCCTCCGATTTACAGTACAGGTACATATTTGGTGTAAATTTGTTGATATCATGTTATTTCTCTTTAATTACCTTTTGTCATCCATATTCATATCAGGCAATTAGCTTGTGTGTTTCTATTCAAAAATGTAACTTAGGTATACTCAAGAGGTATGTATGATGAGAGTTGTAAACCCACCAACACATTTGGATTGATAAATTATAATTTCAGTTGAGACGTTCTATTATTTTATAGATTGGGATTTGGAAGTTAGGTTTCAATTTATTTTGTTTAACATAATTCATGCATTCATTATTGGATGCTGGTAAGGGCGTAGGGCTCTCTTCAATTTCTGATGGGATATTTACACTCTAACAAGGTTCATCACTCAACATTTATCCTCTCCAGAATAAGTTGAAAACAAAATATTAGTTGTTCGCACTACAGAAACATTACCCTGAGAAAGCTCGCAACAAGTGCGCGACTCCACGTCGACGTGAGACGTCAAGCGAGCAGCAGCCACCACACTGTGCAACGGCAACAGCGATTGGGTGCACCCAATTACTCCTCCAATATTCCTTTTGTTTCAAAAAAATCACAAGAAAGAATACAATTAAATGATCACGTTACATTGAGAGCTCAATGGTGATGCAAACTGGGACTTATTTTACCCGAAATTAGGGATGGAAGCTGTGCGGTCGGGACGGAGGCGGTGACCGTGAAATGGTGGTGGCGAAGGACGTAGACGAGGGAGGGAAGTGGTGGTGGAACGACGGATAGTTGACGATCTTGCGGTTGAGATTAGCGACCTTGGTAGGGATCCGCAACGCCAAGCCATTGTGTTCGTGCGAATATCGGAAACAGTTTCAGGGTTTACCCGCAAGTCCGCAACCTCTAATTGGGCTTTCAAAATGTTCGGTTTCGGTCTATTTCAGGGCCTGTGAGTTTAATAATTTATAAACTTTAATTTACTTCAACACTTCATAGGAATGTTTATTATTAATGGAATTAATATAAAATAAACTATTTAATTTTATATAATAATATAATTGATTCATTACTCTTCTCTGTCATTTTTATTTTTATTTTTATTTTCATTTTATTATCGTGTATAAATCAATGAGGTCCTTGATATTTTTATTTTCTTTAGTAAATCAAATTTAAGAAAATATAACCCCAAAAGATGAAATTTAATGTCTTTGAATGTTTGCCATAGCGTCTTTTGGCATCTAAAACGGAAAGGTTTAAGGTTTGACTCTTAATACCATCTGCTTATTTCTAAAACTCTTGACTTACTTGTTTATTATGATCATGATAACATTACGATAACAACACTCAAAGATAGCGACATCATAACTTTTTTTATAATAGAAAATCAATTTCTTTGTAACTGCTTCAAGATCTTATTTTTATTTTTGCTATCAAGATATTGTATCTGTCGTAGATGGGTTAAGACCCGGATCAAACCGTCTTGGGCCCATCTCGAGGGAGAGCTGGGCGAGTAAGCCCAACAAAAATAAGGGCTTAGTTTTTTTAAATATATAGTAGTAATCTCGAAAAGAGAGAAATATAAAAGGGATTCAAATTTTTAATGATATAATTGGAGTCCAAAAAGAATTTAATAGCCATTCGTTTTCTGTTATGTTATTGATTTTGATACTTTTATATGTTACTAAAGTCTAATAGTTGTTTAAGACTATTGACGTTATTATCTATCTCTTTGACTGTTTTTGTGATTCAATAATTTAACCAAATCAACAGCCGAATTCATATCTAAATAACGATCTTTATATTTTCTTGACTGTTAATTACCTGATATCAATATATGAGTCTTAAACACTCTTCTATTTATAAAAACATAAAATAAGATATGAAACTCAAACTATAACCAATAAAAACCGAACTGATTTCTATTGTTTACTCAAAGTGTTACTTCAGACAGTTCAAATGATGTCAATCTATATGTAGCATGGAATGTTTTTAAGGAGGAACAAATTGACGATATTGTGTATTAAAAAAAAAGAGATATATATATATAGGGGCTGGTTCAAATACTAACCCAAACTATTGTGCAAATTATGCTAACCGATCTTGATCGTTCATTTTCTCATCAAACGGTCCTTATTAAATGAGACTACAAAAATAATCATTTAATTAATGCATTAAATGAGATGTCTATGAACAGCTGTTCAAAGGGTAATTTTGTAAAAAAATCGCATCACATCGTGAACATATATTATTCAGACGATTTCATAACCTCCAATCAACTACGAAACTGCCAATCTATATGATCAATAGTGTATATCATTAGCGAAAAATCTAGTTCATAATATTCATCAAAACGATGGATGATTTTGGCGAAATGCATACAAGTTTGGATGTGTGTATAACTAGATAATATTGTTCTAAAAACTATTCTTGATTGATTTTGGATTAAGAATATCCGTATAAATTGTTAATATAAACTGTTAGCTTTATTTTACTCGATTTTATTTTGATGATAATAATCATTTAACGAAGATTTTTTCATACTAAAAAATAACTCCTTTCTTCATATGTTGCATGTCTATAAAATTTAATAAACAAGTATAAACGTCTCACCCTGGGAGAAATACGTCATAAAAAAATCAGGTATATTATGTACGACATGCTAGAGATTACATAAGAACTCAATATTCACAATGAACAATCTCTAAATTCTTTGTACAAGTATATGTGAACTTGGAAGTGATTTTGTTACACCCAATGTTTAAAAAGTAACGTCATGATGTTGTATAAAAATTTTTAAGGCTTTAGCTCATCACAACACCAAACCTAATGCCATTTTTCCGTAGCTAGTGACGTACCTACAATAGAGCATACGGTGGCGCCGTATTATTCATCCGTCGAAGGGTAAAAAAATTTAGGTTCGTGAAAGGTGCATCCGTGTTAATTTGTTGTGTGTTACCATATGTATTTTAAAACTACAATGAGAACAAGTTTTATTTGGTAGAGTTGGTTTGCAACACTTTTATTCCACCCCGGATCCTGTTATTTTTTTTAGTCAAATGATACAATCTAAAAAATTATGTACATTAATTTCTTATAGTCAAATGATATCATCTTTTTAAAAAAATTAGTTCGTTAGATATGTGTCCATGTTCACGATATATGAAAATCATTGAGATAAAATCCAACGTATTTTATTCGAAATATTTAAAGACAAAAATAATATTTTATGTAAGAAGTAAAAATATTATATTGGCAAATAAAAACAAAGGTGGCAAATTCTGTAATGCACATATTACCAGATCCCCCAGATGGTTAGAATCAAGTAAAAAGTCGGTTTAAACGACATATATTCAATCTCCGGCGACATTAATGGCGGATTCTTGCCGTCGTCGTTGATCTGTTTCCGCCTTAAACCTCCTCAAAACCCCATCCACTGCAATTTCAAATGCGTCTTTCATGTCGTTATTGCTACTACCTATGTCACCATACACGATCTTAGGTATAGTTTCGATAACTCGTTCTCTCATCTCCCTCAACTCTTCCCTACCATAGCTCTCCAGAACCCCCTTTATTGATTTCTTCCCCTCTGAAACATCGCCGTGATCTATGAAAACCGAGTAACTTTCCGGTTCATCCGGCAAGTACCATTCGTATTGGTCGTACATAGTCCGATTCCAGAACAAAACCGGCACCGCACCAGCCACCATGCAATCAAACACCGAACGTCTCGTGTAACTATCACCTCTCGGCTGCAAACAGAATTCCGATCCGAGCAAAGACTCCATTATCGCCGAGCTTCCATTAGCGCAGGGAGTCACTGCGCAATCCACCACTCGGCAAGTGGACTCGTTCCGGCAGGTTCGCAACAATAATCCTCTGATATCGTCTCCGACGTCGTCACGCGCCGCTCCGACGAAAGTGAAAAGGCTGGTTCGGTTGTAGGTTCGGACGAAGGTTTGCCAGGTTTGGATATCGGTGTCGGAACGAGGGTGGAATCCAGTGGGGTAAGGTATACCAATGTCATGGTAGTCCCCCGGTGCTCTCTCGATTGTGAGGCGCGTGACGTTTTGCATTTCCGGCATGTTTAAGAACTTGGAGCCCCATCGCTTTTCCGGGTCGGTTAACCGGCGGAAATCCCATGTGATTCGTCCTAGAACCATAACATGATCAGAACCGTTGGATCTCCGCCAGTACGGTTGATTCTGGACCCACTCTATTAACTTCTCGGCATGAAAATCACGTTCTTCATTACTACTGTCGGAGAAGAGATATTTTCCGACGGCGAGTCCAGCGTAAAACGGTATATAGAAAACCGTAGCAGATCCCGGATCCATCGTTCTACATTTATGGTTCAGGATCCGGTTATGGAAAATAATCTCCGAGGAAAACTGATTCGTCCGGTACCAGAGCTGAACTAAACTCTCCGGTATAATTCCGGCGAGCTCGATGGCTGTCATTCCGTAACCGGCGTTGGTGGCGACGCCGCACTGCCAATGCCATGGGTCTAAATCTACGCAGTTACCAATTAAATCGAAGTTAAACATGGTTGGGAGTTGGTAGACGTAGACCTTACCGTGATGGCAGTTGTCGTCATGGAGCGGAGATGGGGGTGATACCGGCGGCGGGGAGCGAGAACAGAAGATGAGGATTTGGATGAGTAAAAGGGAGAAGATGGAGAAGGAAATTATGGGGTGTGAAGTGATTTGAGTGTGGATGGAGTGGAAAGTATGGATTATGAGTTGCAGGGTTTTGGATTTCTTGAAGACGAACATGGTGAAATCAGGGAAGATTTTAGAATAAAGGTGCAGCGGGTTCTTTATGTTGCTAAATTTACGACCGACATTTTATTTTTGATTTGAAATGTTTTTTTCACTCTTTATTATTGATTGGATTTTCAAAAGCCATTGTTTGAAAGTTATAAAAGGCAAGTTTTCATCATCTGTAAGGGATCTTGGATCAGTCGCGATGTATTAAATTAACCCCTACCTTCATTGTTAATGGAAAATAAATGGTTATCGTTAAAAGTCATCATTTTTACGTAACTTATTATCGATTATTAAAATTGATTGTTGGTAAGATTCTTGATCCTTGTTATTTCACTTATCGGTCCTCGTCATTCTCATCTCAGACAACATCCGGTAAAAGGCTCTCGTTATGGTTGGTGGTCTTTCGTTGTGTTTTCGGGTTGTTTAATTTCTTTACACATAGATAATATGTGATGTATATGAATTTCCATCTCAATCTTGTACTAAATAAACAAACATTACTTGGCATGACATTAATTGTATGAGCGCAATTAACGATTGCTTTTTGAGTTTTAAAAAAGGTAAAATGAGGTCGTATTCTCACTTTATTGACCCTGCTTTCCACTCTCCTACCCCATCTTTTTGCGCACCATAACCTCTTTTCACCTTATACGTATATATACATAATTAAAAAAAACAGTTGATTAATAATTAAATATCAATAATGGATCTCATAAGCAGTTACCAACTAAAAGTCTTCTTCCTTACTTACCAGATAAGTTTATCAGTCATTGTTATATCTTACTTACCAGATAAGCTTATCAGTCATTGTTATACTTTTTACCAGGTAAAATTATCAATCCTTGCTTATGCCTATGCCCAGGTAAGATTCTCAATCCTTCCGATACTCAACCAGTAAGGTAAGTAGCACCAGGTAAACACAGGCCCCAACACAAAGACAACATATCCATGGTTCAGAATCAACCATCTGCAATGAATGCTTCACAAGTCTAACATATATTCAATTCAACAGGAAGAAGTTAAGAAGTTGATGATTTGAGTTATGAGTTTGATGTTGTAGTAATTAGTCTGTACACTAACCAACCATTACAACATACATGCATCCATCCAATAATTAGAATTACAATTACTCCTAATAAATGGAAAACACAAACAGTTTACATTCTGAAATCCAAAACACAAACGGTGTTGTTATTGGTACAAGCTGCAATCTTGTCACCTTCTTTGTTCCAGCACACTTCAAATATGCTTCCATTACCCGAATACGTTTTGATAATCTTCCCCTCTTTTAACGACCATATGTGCATGCATCTATCCAGAGAACCACTTGCCAAATACTCCCCGTTTGGACTAAACGACAAAGCATATACCGCATCCCTACAATCATTTCATTTTAATTCAATTCAATTTCTATTCCTCTTCTATGAGTCGGTAAACCAATGAATTAGCATTACTGAAGTTAAATGCTACCTGTGGCCGTTCAAGCTGCGCAGGAGTCTTCCATGCTCAACGTCCCACAGCTTTACCGTTGAGTCAAATGATGCACTGCAAACACACAGAAATTCAGGCTAACTGAGAAAAGCATTCACAAGAAATAAATGGTCGGATAAATATACCTTGCCAACAACAGCTGCTGGTTTGGATTGTTTGTGCCCGGTCCACTTGGACTCCATCTGATTGTGTATATCTCCTGCAAATAACAAATTAAAGATTATTTATTCAAACAGGTACCATAAACTATAGCTGCCATTCAAGATTTCCAAACTAAAAGTATGTGCAAGTTTTTATATGCCCACAGCATGTGTCACATAGAAACACTACCACTGAGTATGTAAACCTATAGGATTGCGAATATGTGTGCTTCTATAACCAGAAACCCGATTAGGTCATGTTGATTGTTAAATAGTTATTCTAGCAGAATAACCAAAGTATGTTTTAAAAGTTTAATTATGATAATTACAAGGTTTTGTAAAATGTATTTTGCATATTAATATTATTATGATTAATAAAATTAAATAAAACCTAAATAGACTTAATATATTTATGGGCTTAAGGATAATCACAAGCCCAGCCCATATTATAGTTAGTTTACAACCAGATAGACCAACTATAAATAAAGGGATAAGCCCAAGCCTTAAAAGATTAATCATCTGATCTTTTTGATTTAGATATTACCAGAAAAATAGAAAAGAAACTTTTGCTTTCTTTTCTATCATACACATACTAGATTAGGGTTTTGGGCTAGCACCCGGTAGAGTAGAAGCCAAACGTGTTCGTGTGTGGTTCTACATAGAGGAAACCTGATTTGGTTTCTAAGTGCTCCTTTAGAACCTGCTGCAAATCTGATAAGTTAACTTTTCTAAAACACCCTATAGTTTGTTTTAGATTCATTTAAAAGTCATTGGTTCCAGTTAGGGTTTCTTTTTGGAAAAGTTTTCTAAAACAAACGCAACCTAAAATATTTTCCGATGCGTTCTAAAAAGGTTACAAAATTGTTTTGAACCCTACAGTATGCTACCAGATATACCAGTAATTAACGATTAAGGAGATTAAACGTTGGTGAGTGATGGTAATGTGGTAGTGGTAGGCTAGCAATCCCAAGGGAAGAACACTCTTTTTTAAATATTAAAAAAATACGGAGTAATAAAGAAGAAAAAACAACAAAGAATCACCTTGGCATGCTCTCTTAAATCATGAATGTGCTTGTCCTGTTTCATACTCCATATCTGAACAATTTTATAATTCCAAGTCAAGTCGCAATGAAATAATTTTCAAGTTATGGGTAGCAAAGGATAAGCAATGACTAAAAGCCTCTTACAAGTGGTAAAATTAGCAAACTAACCTTTGCAGTGACATCATCAGAGCAGGATGCCAATAATGAACCTGTTGGGTCCCATTTCACACAATTAACTTCACCCTGAAATTGAATAAAGTTCTAAACATTAATGACCATTGCAATTTCGTGAAATTTCTATTACCCCAACAAATAGACTGTAAAAGATCCAAATAGCTTGGTCAAATGTTTGAGTTTGTTAGCATAACCTAGCCGATTTCAGTTTTTTTCCATATTTGTATCATATTGTAGACCAGCGCTGTAGCACTTCCCTTTAGCACACTAGAAAAGACCGGAAAACTTACATAGAAGCAATCATAAGCAACATATATTTCTGGAAAAAGCATGTAGTTTATATTCCGATAGATAACTCAATTCATTCATTATACTCATGATTTACGCTAGAATTTCCTATATATGATTGACATGAGAGTGAAGTGTGTTTCAACAGCGCCTAAAGAGAAAGAATGCTACACCCTCCATCCCAAAAAAAAAATGTCCACAATGAAAAAGGACGCAGTTTTAGAAATGTGTAATTATCATTACACTTTTTAATCGACTAATCTCATAATTAAGGGTAGAACAAGAAAGTAGGCACTTACTTTCTAAGTGGACACTTCTTTCGGGACAAACTAAAATAGAAACATGGACATTTATTTTGGGACGGATTGAGTACTACAGAAATCATCTCCACCAAATTAAGCACGTCCCGGGAGAGAAAACTTTCTGGTAGAGTAAAAGGGAGGCAAGCATGCAAACATTCTTTGAAGAATCGTACAAACCTTATGCCCAGCAAAAAGTTTGATGGGCCGACTTTCTCCAATCTTGCAGACATAAATCATACTATCTGTTGAGCTCGAGGCAAATGAGTGATTGTTCCGCCAATCAACATCAAGGGTAGGACCTATCAGATTTAGACACAAGGCATTTGGTTTAGACAAGGGTAATCATTTGTCAAGTTACATATGCCATCCAACACCACATAAATAAAGTAGCACCTGAATGGAATTTGAATTGTTGCTTCCATTCATCCGCCTTTACATCCCATACTATGGCAGTTTCATCAAAGCTTCCAGTAAGAAGGTAATCACCCTTCTTATTCCATTTAATAGAAAATATGGGTCCCTTGTGTTTGCTTAAAGTACTCTTTAGTTCACCTGGACAGAACAAACCACCAAAAGGCAAACCTGAGGATTCTAAGATGTGAAAGAGCTCAAAAACTTAAAGTACCACAACAAAAATGATGATTGGAAAATAAAAAAGAAAGAATAAATGTTTACATATTTGTGAACATGAAATGTAGTCTTTAGGCTATACTCCATTTCCAATTTATTTACTACAACTCCACCCAAAAGAGGATCTGGTTGAGTGGTTGCTCGTTCTAAAAAGTCTAAAATACACAATTATCCTAACCCCAAGAATTTGGGCTATATTAAAGTGGAATCTGACAAAGATAATCACATTACTGTGAAAGACTTTACAGTTTTATACAAGATCCAAGGGTAGGGTTGAAGAAGTTAAGAAGTCTACCCCATCAAATATAGTGTAACATCAACAAGATAAAATAACTTGCTTTAGGTAAAGGAGATGCAGATAAAATAAGCCCTCAAAAGCACAAAATCGGCTCAGGTGAAATGCAATCGAGTTTGCGTAAGAAAGGCAAGATAAAGACACATAAAATGCATAGCCTGTCTCATCATTTGCACCTTTTGGTGTTTAATCCACATAATTCCTATATATATATGTGTATATATATATGTATAACAATGTTACAGAGAGTAGGACATATTGAACATTTTTAACTGCTCAACTACGATTCAGAACTGCACGAAAAGTTCTCATCAGATATGCTATAACTCACCATTTGTATTCCATATTCTTGCTTGCCCATCATATGAACCGGTGGCGAGGAGCGTTCCCTCCAACTGCACATAAGGCAAAAAGAATATCATGTTCAATGGTCATTAACAAAATTTAGCATGAACCTTTATATGGAATATTCTCAAAATGAGGGCATATATGCTTTTGGTGGATAAAAGATATGGATTGATATTTGGTGGATACGCTGAGTAATGATTTTAAGTTTTTGAATTTCATTTCTTTTTTCTCAGGTATGTTTATTCTTTTGCTTCCACCTTTGACTCGGCAACCATTTTTTACCTCTGCAGCATGAAGCCACACACATTATAGACAAAAACCATAACTATTGGAGACGCATAACTGCAGATAATTTGATTATTCAAAACTCCAAACAATAACTACTCTGATGAAACAATAGCAGAAGCAGCAATGGCACTCACATTCCAATCAAGTGTTGTGACGTCTTTGCCTTTGTCGTTTTTGTTACCTTTAACATGCTTCAGTACAAGCACGTTGGCAGGGCCATTTTGTAAACTAGATCTATTAGTCCTATCTGCAATGGTCCAAATCCTAGCGGTAGAATCTCCAGACCTAAAGATCAACACAAACAAATATGGATCAGGCAAAAAGCATATAGAACATGAAGATAGTAAACTGAATCAGATGTGAAAGAAACAAGGAAAGATGCTTGTTTCTTTATAACAAATAAAAGATCCAATAGAACTTCTATATGATATCAAGATCGTATTTCCTTGTTCATCAACTGACTTCCTAATCCATAACATTACCCCTTTGTTCTTGCAAGAGATCCAAGAAACCACTTAAAAGGGAAGAGGGAAAAGAACACAAAAAATACAGATTCAATGCTGTAAAACGTGATACACGATTAGACTTGTTGACATTCATATAAAATTATCTACCTTTTTTCTTGTTAGGAGAACATAAAACAAATTGAAAAGCTTTATTACTTTGCATGTAAACAAATCTTATTTTTTGGTAGACAGAAGAGGAGTGTTAACTTTAATTTCTCTTATATATGAGGTCATGAGGCTTGGATTTATTTATTCAGGTTAATCAACTAGGATTCAGTATCATCGGCCATCAGAAGAGAAGTCTTTACACCAATCAAGGAAGATAAATCAATGAACGATAGGATTTTTTCTACACTGGAGATCCATAAAATACTAAGAACGTAGTAGTAATGTATGGATAACGTAACTTAACACAGCTCAGGTATTCTTCTGAATATCGAAGCACCATGTAACCTTCAATAATCTCTATGAGTCTATGCTATAAATATTATAGGTTGTTTCAATTGAACCCAAGCAGAATAAGATTATCAAAGGCTGTGAATAATCATGATTATCAAAGAGAACTCGGTTTATTAAATAACATACCCTGATGCAAGAAGTGAACCTGCTGGATTCCAAGCACAAGCGCAAACCTGTAGGGAGGTAGAAAATAGGCATGTTATTGCTCAAGTAAGTAATGCATTAGGAATTTAGGACCAACACTCAATATGTTATAACCATGTGGAAAATGTCCAAACCTCAGATGTATGTCCTTCCAAGATTATCACATCTGAACTAGGAATCCCAGAAGCTTGAGGTGTTGCAGAAGTAGAAATATCCATTGGTTCAGGTCCTACAACATACGCCCAGAAAGATTAGATACTCCAAGCATACCATTCATATAGGCTATACAGGCAATTAGGACAAGGTTGAAATCCAGCTTGGGATGCATTTATTTCTGATCAAGTGCTTGGAAGTGTATAAGACATCAAATGCATAGTTAAGTTTTGAAGAAGTCAAGTATGCCCATTGTTCGTCAGGGTTAGTATGTCTTTATAACCAAGCTTCTTCTATACATTCTTTATGCCAATTGATTATCCATTCTCTTTGACTCATTATTCACTAGAATATGAATATTCACTTCTAATGAATCTGACACGAACCACATGTCCAACTATGGTTGTGATTTCTATCTTTTGTGTTTGTCTGTAAACATGTATGCACCCAACAGTCTGTGTGACTCTCTCCCTTGTTGCAAAGGTTTGGGGTTAATCAGAACTTTGAGTCCAGATGTCAAAAAAACTATTATGTAATACATATGCAATTACGTATATCAATGTGTGCATGTATGTGCGCATGCTTGTATCTTGAATACATCAGCTGAAGTAAATCTTTGTGGTTCAAACATAGCAAATCTTATTACTAGCCAAATTTCAATATAATGAACTCATGAGTATTAAATAATGTGTAAAACTGGGAGAAACAGGATTCCTAATTAATAAGCTAAATATATGTAGACACCAACATGCAGAGATGCACACATTTAACCTGATAAGGATCATTGCTAGTGTGGTCAACATAATAAAAGGAGAAGCAAGCAATGATGGTATCACCAGCAAGGTGTGGATGAAAATAAGTAACAAATAAATAAATAATGAAGAAGATGAAGATGAAGATGACGGAAACGCACAGTGAATATCCAATTGCCGTTGAAAGAAGTATCGTCGAACTGTGTTCGTATCATTTTTGGTTCATGTCTCTCTTTCTATCCCAATCCAAGGCTCGAATCACAATTGAAGCCCTAATTATTAAACGGGTAACAGTTAATTTAAATTATATTTTTTACTTTTTTAGGTGGGAAATATATGACTTACACCACCATGGCACCCAAAAAGAAGCCCTAAGTCAACTTAACAACCTCCTTGTATACATAGATTTTTGAATGGGTTATATGCCAATAAAACCAAAGAGGCAAAACCTTTCACAGACTCACAGAGCGAGGGAAGGGGGCAGAGGGAAGCCTTATACAAAGAATTGCAATCATATGCAAGGGCAAAAGGAATCAAATTAATAACATGTAAGTTAAAGTATCCTGCCAAATTATACTCTCCATCCAAAAAAGTTGTTTGCATGACTTTCGAGTGTTATTTGATTCTAACTTTTTAGAAGAGTTCTTTTTTTGGAGAAAATTATGACAACTACATTTAATTGCTGGAACAACAACACCACCACCAAGAGCCCATTTTTCTACACTGATGGTGCAACCATATTTCAGACAAAAGATTCTAAATGCTTGGCATGTTTCCATCCATGAATAAATTCGTAAATGGGATTCCTTAATTGGATATTGGATCGACACATGTCATGTTTGACAAACTGCTCATGTATAAAATATGAACACTCACAGTATAATAAAAGAATCTCCAATAATAAATTGCAATATAACCATTCTGTGGATATTAAACTAAAAGCATGCATGTCAATTTCTATTTGATCAGATACTATATTTCGATTCCAAAATGAAAGTGGACTGTGGATCTATGGAATATTTCCAAATAAAACGAGCATTTTTGTATGCCTATGCTTTGTTCAAACATAAAAGGGGAATTAAAGAAACATACCTCCAAATGTCCCATTTTCTTCGAGTTTGATATTAACGTTGTCTTGTTGATCTACAAGAATTTCTCTATCAGCAAGATCCTCGTGTTTCTTTTCTCTTTGCTTGTCCTTATTGACTTTCTCTTTCTCCTTCTCACTTTCTTTCTCCTTACTTTGTTTGTCCCTCTCTATTGCTAGCGCAGTTTGTTTTTCTTGTTCCTTGGAAAGCTCCTCTGCAGCCTTCTGTTGAATTTTCTTTTTCTCTTTTACAATTTGTCTTAGTTGGAAGACATCCTTGGTCAGAAGATCTAATGGTTGTAGGAAGGAGAAATCTTCGTCTACATCAGCATCATTCTGGCAATCTTGAAAAGCATGATCAGCATTGTAATAGATGAAAATAAAACAGTGTGGAACTGGTGAAAGAGTTAGCATACTAACATTGTTCAAATTTGCTTCCATCTCAAGATATTGAAGTCCTTTCTGTACAAGAGTGACAAGGGCTCCAGGTGGAACCATATTTCCATCTATAGAGCACTTGTTGATACCTGCCTCATATCCTAAATTAAAAGCTGAATGTATAAAACCTGAGAGTAAGATGAGAAACACAACATAAGTCGATGAGTTTTTGCAACACACAGCCTAAAACAGTTTGCTCCACTACAGTAGGTCCATATGAGAACCCAAACCATAAAACAAGGGAAGTGTGGGTTATCTGTGAATTTATTAAAAGTCAAACAGAGAGAGCATCATCAAATTGAAATGCAACTGTGCCAGGATTAAAACAATGAACGGCTTGTTCAAAAAATGGGATCCTACTATTCCCTTGATCCAGAGATATTACCATTACACCTCTCATAAACTAAGGACCTGTAGAAACACCATATTTACCGAACACGTTCCTCAAATGCTTTTACACTCCACTTCATAATGCATAATGACTTCCATATAAAGCTACTTTCTGATTCCACGGAGAGACATTTGAGAATAAACAACACCAACAATATGGAACATTTGCAATGAAAAAAAGTGGTTACCTATTTATACAATTCTTCATTACTCACACATCTCAGAGAGCTAAAATAACAGACTTCATAAAAATCAACTCATATTATGTTTTCTGTTCATTTTCTGGTTCCTTTCTCTCTTATATTTTTCCCTGAAATCAAGTAATATTCTGTTGGCAGAATAATCAAACTGTCTTCCTATCCAATTCTTTTATGTGATAAGTTCATCATATGGGTTCGCACTCACAAGAATCAGATTCAGGTGACTAGTCCTAAACTCCTAACACAAAGAGTAATCTCTGCCAGATAGCATCCGTCCGACCCAAAAGAATCCTTGCAGCACGACTCCTTGTGCATCACAAATTAGGTTGCTATCCCCATGCTAATCACATTTGTCCATCTCCTAATAGTACAAGCCACCCGCCCACCCCATCAAGTCCTTGGTGGAATAACGTATGCGTTATAATTAAGAAGTGTCATACATTGCTAACTTCCAGTACATTCAACACGAACTTCAAGATAGTTGCAATGAACCAGTTTTGAAGGCATTGTCAGTCGTTTCAAGATATCCAGTTCTCGCAATTTCACTCTTTCTCATACAAGAAGGGCCAGCTTGTTCTTCCTTCCTCATAAGTCGACCACCCTTTCGTCATTCCTTAATTTTTTGACCTAGCTCCTCATGGATATCCTCATCGCATGCTCCGTGACTCTTTATCCACGTTTTGGATGGGTCATGGGACCATAGGTTTTTTCATGTTGCTTAACATGTAAGCTTCTTTTCCAGTTAAGTTTCTTTTCCAATTAAGCTTCTTGCCAAGTATCATTCAACGCTATGAAACCCATATCGTGCAAGAACAGAAAATTAAGCATTTGATCCCACATTCTGAGCAGCAGAAAGTTGAGACCTGTCATATATCAGTAAGTGGCAACAGTTCCTAGGGCCTTTGAAATGAATAGCAAACCTTCAGGCTCTCAGATCTAATGCTAAAAAATTTGGTTTACCTATATTCCTTATCTACTTCCCCATGTTAATCTCAGCCTACCTGTAACTTCATTAACACCCTTGTCATGATACATATCTCCACCTTCGACCTTAAAAGTGACCTTTAATTTGTTGGCATCAACTAACACCTTCTCGCATATATATTATTTAATACTCGAACATCAAAGAGGTACCACACATCCACATTTCTGTTATGCATTGCTGTATCTTGGTGGGCTAGCATTCAGACAGATAAACACAATAATCTCATAGTTCCCCTGTACACCATTCGATGGTGCAACGATTATTAATTTAAATCAATCTGAATGAAATGTTAAAAGAATTCAGTGGAAAGCTACCACCCATAATGGACGATTGGTCTCCAATGCTCAAAGGGGTCTAGCCTGTGCCCATATAGTAAGGTAGTGCAACAGCACATGTTCTATCCCGAATTACCCATCTCGCTAAAGGAGCCCATGTTTACAAAGCAGATTGAGAAACTGAAGGTGTCAGTTAATGCTTCCTCGACCAACTAATTACAAACCCTAAAAAATCTTTCACAAAAAAGAACCCCCTCCCCTCAGTTAAAACTCTGCATTAACAATAATTCTGAAAGGAAATCAATCACACAAACTCCCAGATCCATAAATCCAGAGTACGAGTGCTAAAATTAAACGATATCATCAAGTATAGATTTTCAGACCCAAAAAACAGCAATTTCAGCGTGCAAACATCAACAGACAGTAAGACACATGCATGAATGAACAAAATTGTGCTTCGTATATGTTAATGTATACATATGTGTATAATCATGTACCAATTACCTGATTCCTGAAGATAACGGAAGACGATGTAATTCAATTCGACGGAAGTGATGGATGTCATGTTTCTTGGGAAAATCTGGTACGCATGCGGATTGACGATGAAAGAAGGGGAGAAATTTGTTAATAGTAGCCGGAGTTTCAGAGATGGCCGGAAAAAATTAAATTATCTCTTCGTCGTCTTCTATGAACCTTGCCGGAAAAAGTGGGCACCTTCAATTCTGAGGAGTGACATCGATACCTCTTTGTTCTCGCAAAAATACCGGCGAAACCCCGTGATAGCATACAATATATGGAATTAATTGACGCTTTATTGCAATTGAGTCCATGTAGTCTTGACTTGTGTACATACACACCCTCCAAATATGGAAAATGGACAAAAATGTCATTTTATTTTTATATTTTCAATCACGCATTGAAACTATCAACTTATGTTAATATTATTAAAATCACATTAATTATATCATTTTTGTTGGATTTTATTTGAATACCATAAATTATCATGTTAGAAGAAAAGCACAAAACAAATAATAGTTCAACAAAAACAGTCTCAGTGATTTTTCTAAATATAAATAGTTGAATATGAGACAACGAATACAGATAAAATTAAAAGAAAATGCATTGTCATCTAGTCAAGGCCAGCATGGTCGACGACATTGTAAGTAGAAAGGAACAACATAACTTTTGTAGGATTATGCAGTGAGAATGGTTACGTGAGGTGCGACATAGAATACTCTTGTATGAGAATGTTAAGAGCGAAAAATGGATGGTCAAATCAATTTTTTATAAGTCGGTACCGATAGAATATTGAGATTCAAAGATGAGCATGGATTGTGGAAATGGGTTATATCTCAGAGACGGCGTATTAGACGAAGCACGTTAGCCCAGGCATATCATACATATAGGAAGTGACAAGATAATGACGAAGTCCATATCAAAATGTGTACTAAAAGGTGCTTAACGTGTTTGTATATTTACGACTGAACACCAATAATTGTGCTAAAACATAAAAAGTCATTTACCGCGACGAAAATATGTTCTGTTTGTTTTTGTTATAGAAACAAATAAACCCCACCCTCTTACAACTTGAAAATTGTTTAAACCCCGAATAAACAGTTTAAAGGTCATAAATATCAACTTATTGAGTATTTGAAACTCTTGAAAATAAGAATGTAAATCATTGTATTCAAACATCAACCATCTTCCACAAGCTCAATATAGCCATCATTGGTTATCATCGTTGTTCATTTGTGAAGTTGTTGAGTATTGGCTTTCTCTTTTTCGTTGACGATATCATCTTCGACGTAGGGGAGTTCAGCATCTGAGTGATTATGCGTTTTATTTATAGTCATAATTATCCAAACAATTCTTAAGGTATATGCAAACCTCAGTGATTATAATGTATGTTGCGTCCTTCACTAACAAAGCACCATGCAACTAAAAAGCTAAAAATGTTGTAACGAATCATCGATCATTGATTGATTTGATTCATTTAATTAGACCGTTATACCCATCTATATGGGCTTGGTTAGTGATTAATGAGTTGGGCCACAAATTTTAATTTGCTTCATGGACTTCCTCTCCATCGATATTTGCATGGGTTGATATTTACATAAGAGGGGGGACAAGGGTAGCGGAGTGGTGGTTGTGGCTATCGATAGAGGTAAAGACGATGCGTGGTAAAAGCAGATAAGAGATGGTCGATTACGAGGCGGAGAAGAACCGGAGGTAGGTGAGGGTCGTCTTGATGAAGAAACATGGGTTTTAGTAAAGGAGCATGGGGGAGACATATGTACGATTTTCAATTTATATGACTAAGGGGTGTTTGGTAAGATGCATTAAGCAGTAATTAATGAGAATGAAAATAAAAGAAACTGTTTGGTTTTTTTATAATATAATGGGTCCATTCTTTCAGAAGCCCAAATTTTCATTCCAGATTAAACTGTCATTTTCATACCCATTTTCATTCATCTGCCTGAACCAAGCGTCCCCTAATATTTCATTTTTGGTATATTTTTTATTTGCTATTCATAAAAATGAAATATTGACACATATTGATCATATATTTAAAATGGTATTTTAAAATAAATAAAATAATAAGTAAACTCAAGATACCAACCATTGCAAATTGAATAAAAATATTAACTTGAAAATTTACCAAAAAAATAAATATTACGTAGAACTCAAAAAACAATGTTTTATTATTTAAGAATTAAATAAACTATATAAATATTAAATCTAATCTAATCTATACTATATTATAAAGCATTTGGCTAAAACTCTTAAAAACTCTTAAACTCTTAAAACTCTTAAACCCGTTCATCCCTATCCGATTTCATCCCATAAGTGAATTCGTGTAACTAACTGCAGATAAACACAATCCAATACAGGATAAACATCTCATTTTAAATATAAAAAATCTAAAATATAATTAGGATA